GGTTTGGGTATATTCTAGGACCCTGTGGGTCCCTCCAATGGACTCTTCTGTGAGGCTGGGAGTTTCTCCCACTACTGCAACCCCCACAGGTTTTTACTAGAGGTTTTGAGGTTTTATTTTTCCATGCTGGAACCCTGGATTGCATGGTCTGTCTCACTCCCCAGTTGTTCCTCCCAGTTTGTCTGCACATAAATGTGGGACCACCTGGTCTGCCAGCTGCTGCCTCATCTGCCTGGTCTGCCAGCTGCAACATTGCCGTGCATCCTCCTTGCCCTGGCTGCCTGTTTCTACCCATCCTACTGGTCTGGATGAATGTTTTCTTCTTTAACTCCTTGGCTGTCGGACTTCCACACAGTTCAATTTTCTGGCAGTTCTAGCTGTTTTTTGTTGTTTTTTTTTTGTTGTTTTTAAATTGGTTGTTGTCCTTCTTTTGGTTGTGAGAGGAAGCAAAGCGTATCTACCTCCACCTCTACCTTGGCTGGAAGCCCACTTTCCTATATACCTTGTACCAGGTTTGACGTCAGGAGAGGCGGCTGCTGTGCACTTTTTGCAACTGGTTTGATGTCACGTTTCAGCTTCAGCTTTGCATCCTGAGAACACTTAAAAGGTTTCTGCTGGTCCATTTTATACAACTTGAAAGACCTTTAAAACTTTGTGGTTACCACAAGCATATCTTTCTTTTCTGTTCATTCAATAAACAGCTGTACCCTACAGTGATACGTTTTCCAAACAAAATACCCGGAGCAGCAGTTTGTCCAAATACGCCCTCAGTGCCACTCAACAGATCTCTGCACAGGCCCCAGCCCAGGGCTGGGGACTCTGGGGACTGAGAGAGCCCTGGGCCATCATGGAGTTCCTAACTCAGTGGGGGAAGACAAACAGTAAACAATCTATTTTTTTTTTTTCTGTGTCCTCTGTCAAGGACACTCCCATGCCAGCCTGCCTCCTGGTGCCAGGGACCTGGAAGCAGGAGCCGGCTCCTCATTCTGACCTCTCGCCCTCACGGAGCTCGCGCCTGAGGAGCAGGGAGTGTGGGCTCATCTGCTGCTGCTCCGGGCCCTGCGCCTGCGTCTTTCAGCTCCCAGCTATTGTGGCTGTCTCCCTCTTCCTGTGCTATTTTTTTTAATGAAACAACAACTGCTTATTGAATGTTTAAATGTACCAGATACTAATATTTTCTGGTTGAAACAGGTGTGTAAAGTTTGCTTAATTTTCTTTTCTTTTTAAATTTTTATTGTATTTTTTTATTACCATTTAGTCCCCTTATACCTTCCCGCCACAATCACCAGAGTGTTGTCTATGACCGTGAGTTTTTTTTCCTTTTTATTCAGTGCTCATCCAGTTTTCAGCAGCAAGACTCTGAGGGCCACGACCAGAACTGAACCCGCAACCCAGGCATGTTTTGTGACTGGGAATCAAACCACAACCTTTTGCTTGGCAGGTCGATGCCCAACCAACTGAGCCACACAGGTCAGGGCTCATTAGTACTTTTTATAATAGAATGGAACTACTAATTTAAAAAGAAAAGAAATAGCCCTGGCTGGTGTGGCTCAGTGGATTCAGCGCAGGCTGCGAACCAAAGGGTTGCCGGTTCGATTCCCAGTCAGGGCACATGCCTGGGTTGTGGGCCAGGTTCCCAATAGGGAGTGTAAGAGATAACCACACACTGATATTTCTCTCCCTCTCTTTCTCCCTCTCTTCCCATGTAAAGATAAATAAAATCTTTTTAAAAAGATAAATGAAAAGAACTAATCCACACTCAACTTAGCATTTGTGAGGTACGTGAGCACTGCACACATTAATTCTCATCAGCCCTGAGAGACAGGCTCAGTTCTCATCCCCATGTTTTATATGTGCACCCAGAGAGAGGAGAAAATGGCCAGTTCTTACAGGTGGTAAGTGGCAGAGCTGGGATTTTTTACCTCGGACTGCTTGGCTGCAGAATCCTTGCTGATAACCACTGAGTGACTATTGGGTCTCTAATGCGCAATTCAAAGCAAGGGCTCCGTGCCCCGCAGCCAGCCACCTGCCACTGGTGCTTCCTGCCCACATCCCTTCACCTGTCTGTTGCGGTTTCCTCATCTGAAGAGAATGGAGAGTTGACATTAGCACCTGCCTCAGGTTGCTGTGAGGGTTCAGTGAGGATATACGCATAAAACGTCAGTGCATGTAACACCTGTGTGGTGTAGCTGTTGGTGATTGTGAGTAACTTCATTATGATTACGAATAATACCTGAAACATTTCAAGGTCCACGAGGGAATGAGATGGAGTTCTCTGCAGTGAGTAGTTCTTACTGTGGAGGGGGATACCTCATACCCTGCTGGGGACCCTTTACTTCAAGGCATTGTGAAAGCCAGTGTCTGCAGGTCCAGGTAGGGCTGGTAAACCAGGAAAACCGGTAGGAGGAGGGATCACAAGGTGCCAGGCTCGTCTCCCTCTGGGAGTAAGCTTGGCTCCTATGGGTCACTGGGGCCTCCAGACAAGGAGTGGGCGGCAGCAGAAGCCCTCAGGCTGACCCAGGCGGTTCCGACCTCCGCTGAAATGGAGTCTGTAGTAATAGTGGCTCGTGATGCTGTCCGTGCCAGACACTGCTGAAGTTCCTGGACTCTGTCTCCTTGAAGTCTTACAGGCCGTCAGTTCTCAGGACTTTACCCTTGGTTGGTTTGTTTTTAAAAATTTCAAGCCCTGGCTGGCGTAGCTCAGTGGATTGAGCGCGGGCTGCAAACCTGCCTGGGTTGCAGGTCATGACCCCCAGCAACCGCACATTGATATCTCTCTCTCCCTCCCCCCTCCCTCCCTCCCCTCTCTAAAAATAAATAAATAAAATCTTTTTTAAAATAAAAAAAATAAATAAAAATTTCAGAGAAGAGAAGGAGAGAAACATCGATGTGAGAAAGGTAGATCAATCCATTGTCTCTCACATGCCCCAAAATAGGGACCTGGCTCTCAACCCAGGCATGTGCCCTGACTGGGAATTGTTCCAGCGACCTTTTGGTTCACAGGCTGGCACGCAGTCCACTGAGCCATGCCAGCCAGGGTGCCCTTGTTTTACAGAGAAGAAACCGAAGGCCCAGAGGATGAAGTGACCTGGCCAAGGTTGCACAGGAGTTCCGTCTTAAACACACTTAACTTGTGCAAATGCAGCTCTACCCTGAGCCAGCGCCCCTCCGTCCCACCTATTTCAACAAACCGTGCAGGCAGTGAAGCCTGCGAGTCGGGGGGTGCATGTACGTGGAGATGATTTTTCACATTTGTTAACTGAGTCGTTAGAGGACCGGCAACAGGATGAGCATGACTGAGCCCAGGAAGAAGAAAGTGGATGATTCTACTCAAATTGGCCCTTGTCTGTCTCAGAGTAAAAACCATCGTCCCCCCTCCTTGGCCCGTGAGGCCCCACACAGCTGGCCCTGTCACCTCTCTGACCTTGACTCTGCCCACTTCCCCCTTGCTCATTCCACCCCAGCTACCCTGGCCTCCTCAATGGCCCTCACACAGACCAGGGGCATTCCCACCACTGGGCCTCTGCACTGGCTGTTCCTGCCATTTGGAATCCTCTCACCCAGATGTCCCTGCAGCTCCCCGAGTCCTCCTCCACATCTTTACTTGGGTGCCACTTTTTCGGTGAGAGGGTCCCTGACTGCCCAGTTTACCACTGCAGCAGCCCTCACTGCACAAACACACCCTTCGGTGCACACACACACCCCTCGCACGCACACACCCCTCACTGCACACATACCATCCTCACTGCACACACACGCTCCATTCCGTTCCATTTTCCTTCTTTCAGCATTTCTCGCCACCTGACAAAATACGTCTATATATGTTTGTCTCTTGCATAGAAAGGCAGCTCCATGAGGGCAGGAGTTGTCTGTATTGCTCACTTACTGAGTGCCTACTGTATACTAGGCCCTGTTTAGCTACTGGGGAGACAGTGGTGGGCAAAAAGACAAAAATTCCTCTGCTCCTGGAGCTCAAGCTCTGACCCTAGGCGGGAGAAAGACACTGAACGCAATAAGCCTATTATTATGCGACAGCAGGGGGGCAATGTAGGAGGCAGATAGGGAGGGGATCGAAGATGATGCTGTTCAGCCAGGTGCCCGGATCAAGCCTCCCTGCAGAGGTGACCTCTGCGCTGTGGCCTGGATAGAGTGATGGAGTCAGTCTCGGGGCCATCGCAGGAGGAAGGACTGTCCTAGGCAGCGGGAGCAGGAGGCCAGAGGCCCTGGGAAGGGAATGTGTTGTGTTGTCGGACCAACCGTTGGAGGCCTGTGTGCCTGAAGGAATGGGTTGGAAATGACGTTTGTGCAGAGCTGGTTCAGGTGTTTTGGCAAAGACCTTGCATTTTATTCTGAGTAAGTGGGATGGGAGGGAAGAAGAGAGGGCCCTGCAGTGCCTGCGAGTTCCCTCTGGCTGTGTATGGGGGAGCAGGCTGTGGGAGCCCGGGGGGGGGCGGCGCACAGAGACTAGGGGCCACGCATGATGGGAGCCAGACGAGGGGTCATAGAGAATAACAAGTGGGGGAAAGGTCAGCTCCAGGCTTGTCTCTCAGCGGAAGCCCCCAGAATTGTGCCATCGCACGTTTTCGCATCTCAGGAAACACGGGTGCCATTGACTCAGTTGCTCAAGGCACAACCTGACTGTCTAGCATGATGGTGAAAAGAATGGCCCCTGGTTCTGGCTTTGGAATCACAGCCCCACTGCTCACAAGCCATTGTGAACGCAGGCAAGTGACTTAACTTTCCTGTGCCTCAGTTTACCCCCTAAAGTGAAAATAGTCATAGGACCCACCTCATAGGATTGTCCTGAGGACAAAGTGAGTAGTGACTCAATAAATGTTAACTTTTATTTACTTCACAATCCCTTGCTAAGCACTATGTGAGTTGCTTTCTCCACTCTGGTGGTTTGAGGGTTCAAATAGGCTGAGCCCAGGTTCTCGCCTCTAGATGGGATGGTGGGTCGCATCTGGGGGCTCCTGAGCCTCCTCACATCTCCCCACCAGGTATCGACCTCATGGACATGGCTGCAGACCTTCAGCCTCAGGGAGACGATGTGGCCCGCACAAGCTGGTACCTCCGTAAGCTCATCGCCACATACCAAGAGACCTTCAGCGTCATCGAGAAGGTGACTCTGGAGGCTCATGAGGCATCCCGCCTGCCCACCTCTCCTGAACCAGCCCTGACCCCGCCCCAACTGTTCTCTCCTAGTGCCCTAAGCCCGTGATTGCCGCCATCCACGGGGGCTGCATTGGCGGAGGTGAGTCTGCCTCATCCCGGAGCTCATTCTGGGTGGGTGCCCATTGACTGCTGTTGCTCGCCTCATCCCGTGGCCTCCAGCCTCAGATCTGTTGCTGGTTAGATTTTGTCCCAAGGTGGAAACCTCACGACCTGGGTCCTTGAGGTTGTTTAGTGTCCCCAGCCTCTACCCCCCAGGTGTGGACCTCATCACCGCATGTGACATCCGGTACTGTGCCCAGGATGCCTTCTTCCAGGTGAAGGTGAGCCATCCTCCCAAGCTTCTGTTTCCTCAAGTCCTGCTTAGAGCTGGGCAATGAGTGGCACAGTGGGGGCAGAGCAGGGATGGCCCAGGTAAGGAAGTGGGGTGCGGGGGGAGGTCTGGAGTGAGCCCAGAGGGCTTCATGGAAGAATTGACCCTTAAAAAGTGAGGCTTGGGAAGAAAAACAACGCTTGGCTGTGGAGGAAGCCAAGCGTGGGTCATGCTGCCCAGGCGCGGTCAGGAGTGAGGGAAGGTGTGGGCGAGGCTGGGGCGCTACATTATGGGGTCAGTGCCTGAGAGGGTAGGAGGCAGCATGGAGCCCAGGGGTGCTGTAAGGGGTGAGGTGACAGGGTTAAGAAGGACTCTCCTCTGGAGGTAGATGTGGCTGACCAGGAAGAACTGAGCTGGCAGGGGGGTTGGTAGGTGGGCTGTGTTCCGGCCTGAAGGAACCGTGTGGGTGGAAACGAGATGGAGTAGTGGGGCAGTCGTGTCTGAGGGAGGGGTGGAGAGGGGCCTCTAGTTAGTGCAGTTTCACTGGCATCGAGGTGGCACGGGGGCCTGTATGGGGCAGAGACTGAGCCCTGATGGGACTGCTCCTACAGGAGGTGGATGTGGGTTTGGCAGCTGACGTGGGAACGCTGCAGCGTCTGCCCAGAGTCATCGGGAACCAGAGGTATGTGGGAAAACCCGGGGAGGGGACCGAAAGGCATCTCCTGGACCGGGAATGACTGCTATTTCTGATAATGCCCTGCCCCCCTGCAGCCTGGTCAATGAGCTGGCCTTCACCGCCCGCAAGATGATGGCTGACGAGGCCCTGGGCAGTGGGCTGGTCAGGTAGGACCTCGCCGGTTCTGGTGAAGAGCTCAGGGGCAGCCAGGTCTGGGTGGGGTTCTCTGAGTCTCCGTGGAACCTCACTTACGGTTTCCACGTGGCTTCCTCTCTCTGAGTGGTTAGTTCTTTATTCTGGAGTCTCTTGCCCTGACCTGACTGGTCCATTTCACGGGAGAGGAGGGTGGGGGGAGCTTCTGCTTTCTACTATGATTGGCCACTGCTAATATGGGAGGGAGCAGCAAAAGCCCGTCTCAGACCCCTGATTCCTGATGCCCTTCATCCACAGCCGAGTATTCCCGGACAAGGAGGTCATGTTTGAGGCGGCCTTTGCCCTGGCAGCCGAGATTTCCAGCAAGAGTCCTGTGGCAGTTCAGAGCACAAAAATCAACCTGCTCTACTCCCGTGACCATTCGGTGGCCGAGGGCCTCAACTACATGGTAAGACTCTCCATCTGACCAATCACAGCCCTTCTCTGATCTCAGAGCAACCACTCAGGGCTCAGTGGCTGCTACAGGCCTTGTCCTCTGATTGGTGTGCTGCTATGTCACTTTTTTCACTGGTCCGACTCCAGTTTTGCTGTCTTTTCCATTACATGCTGCTCTCTTTATCTAGACGTCCTGGAACATGAGCATGCTGCAAACCCAGGACATTGTTAAGTCTGTCCAGGCCGCAGTGGAGAAGAAGGACCTGAAGAGCGTCACTTTCTCCAAGCTCTGAGAGACCCTGCATCTCAGGCCCTGGCTGGGGACCAGCCTTGCTCCCCCTCCTGCCTGTGTTTCCACATCCACAGAGAAGGAAGGCTAGGGAAGATGCTCATCTTGCTGCCTTCTCACTCAGTTCATAACCTTATGAGCCTGATTTCTTCATGCCCAAGGCTGTATCTTCCCCCCATGAACAATAAAGCAAAGTCAAGAACCTGGTGTCCTTATTGGAGATGGGAGAGGCGCCAAGAGGCTAAGATGCGCCTGGGGGTCCATGGACCACAGTTGTGCTGAGGGTTGGGGAGAGAACTTTAACCAATGGGAATGGGACCCATGTAAGTGGTGACCATTCAGGGTTGGCAGTGGGCAGGACCAATAGAAAATCTGGCACAGAGTTCCAACAAGATGGAGGCACAGGTAGAAACCCTTCACTTCCTTGCACAATCCAAAGGAGGATAACAACTGATCTAAAATCTATAAACAACCATAAGTGCCAGAAAAGCAAACTGCATGGAACTCTGACAACCACAGAATTAAAGAAACAGTCGACCAAACCAACCAGACTGGTAGGAGGGAGATGGGGCAGATGGGTGGATGGAGAGAACCGAGCAAGGTGGCAGACTGCTGGCTGAATAGGAAACTGAGACTCAGCTGAGCGTGGACTACAGCAGGGGTTGCCTCAGTGGGAGAAACTCCCAGTCTCACAGTTCATTGGAAAGTGGGGCTAGAGCCGAGCAGTCGAGCTGCATTGTTCCCTCTCTGGCCCCTCCCCCACAGACAGCACCACAACGCAGCAAAGAGGGTCCCCCTGCCCTGGTGAATACCTAAGGCCCTGCCCCCTTACAACCTAACAGGTGCACCAAGACAAAGAAAATGGCCCAAATGAAAGAACAGAGCAAAAACTCCAAAAAGAGAGCTAAGCGATGAGGAGATAGCCAACCTATCTGATGGAGAATTTAAAGCTGTGGTAATCAATATGCTCACAGAACTAATTGAGCTTGGTTACAAAATGAAAGAACAAATGAAGGATACCCAAAGTGAAATAAAGCAAAATATTCAGGGAACCAACAGTGAAGGGAAAGAAACCAAGACTCAAAGCAATGGTTTGGAACAAAGGAAGAAATAAACATCCAACTGGAACAGAATGAAGAAACAAGAATTCAAAAAAATTGAAGAGAGACTTACAAACCTCTGGGATAACTTTAAACATTCCAATGTCCAGATCAGGGGTGCCAGAAGGAGAAGAACAAGAGCAAGAAATGGAAAACTTATTTGAACAAATAAAGGAGAACTTCCCCATTCTGGCCAAGGAAATAGACCTCCAGGAAGTCCAGGAAGCCCAGAGTCCCAAAGAAGTTGGACCCAAAGAGGAACACACCAAGGCACATCATCATTAAATTACCCAAGATTAAAGATAAAGAGAGAATCTTAAAAGCAGCAAGAGGAAAGGAGACAGTTACCTACAAAGGAGTTCCCATAAGACTCTCAGCTGATTTCTCAAAAGAAACCTTACAGGCAAGAAGGGGCTGGAAACAAGTATTCCAAGTCATGAAAAGCAAGGACCTACACCCAAGATTACTCTCTCCAACAAAGCTATCATTTAGAATGGGAGGGCAGATAAAGTGCTTCCCAGATAAGGTCAGGTTAAAGGAGTTCATCATCACTAAACCCTTATTATATGACATGTTAAAGGGACTTATCTAAGAAATTGAAGAAGATCAAAACAATAAAATGACAACAAAACACAACCATCAACAACTGACCCTAAAAAAAAAAAAAAACCTAAGCAAACAACCAGAACAGGAACAAAATCAGAGAAATGGAGATCACATGGAGGGTTTTCAGTGGGGAAAGTGAAGGGAGGAATAGGGGGAAAGGTACAGGGAATAGGAAGGATAATTGGTAGGCATAAAATAGACGGGAAGAGGTTAAGAACAGCATAGAAAACAGAGAACTCAAAAAACTTATATGTACAACCCATGGACATGAACTAAGTGGGGGGAATGCTGGAGGGTTGGGGGTGCAGGGTGGAGGGAGGGTAAAGGAGGAAAAAATGGGACTGTAATAGCATGATCAATAAAATATAGGTAAAAGAAAGAAAGAAAATCTGGCACAGATGGAGCGAGCAGAGGCTACAGCTGGTCCCCCTGCCTGCCCGAGGCTTGAGGGCGACGTTCACCCTGCCTGGCCCTCACTGCACAGGGGGATCTGGTGCTGGAGTCTGGCTAGGGTTCCACTGCTACCCAGTCTTAGACGGACTGCTTTATTTCTTCAGGCTTCGGGTTTTCTCATCCACATACATACAATCCCACCCTCCTGGATTTATGTTCAGAATAACCAAGAGACCAAGCATTAATTTAGTGCCGTCCATATGCCACATCCTGTCTGAGCATTTATTAACTTAGTGATTTCTTTCAAGGACCTATGAAGTTGATACTATTAATATCCCCATTTTACAGAAGGGCAAATGGGCAAATTGAGGTTTAGGCACTGATCTAAGATCACAGAGCCAGGAAGTAGCAGAGGCAGGATTTACTTGTTTATTCATTTTTAAATTTATTTATTTACTTTTAGAGACAAAGGAAAGGAGGGAGAAAGAAAGGGAGAGAAACATCAGTGTGTGAGAGATACATCGATCGATTGCCTCTCCCACACCCCCAACTGGACATCTGGTCCTCAGTCCAGTGAGGCACACCAGCCAGGGCCAGAGGCAGGATTAAACCCATAACCTCTGGCTGCAGAAATCAGTGATCTAATCCACCATGTATTCAATAGAAAGTCATGGGAAAGGCATGTAGTAGGCACATAATCCATTTAGGTCCCTTCAAAGTTCCTGGAATGTCCTGAGCACCCAGTCCCTCCCTGCTTTCCCTGGCTTCCATTGCGCACCTGTCCTGGGCCACTCCTGCAGCCCTGCCCTGCCCCACCCGCTGGACCTCACCCTCCCTCTGATAACAAAGGTCCAGGGAGGGTTTTATGGGCTCTGATAAGGCGCTGTCAGGGCCCAAGTTCACTAGCACTTCCTCTTTGCAGAAGGGTCTAGAGGAGGGGTCCCTGACCTGAGTCCCCCCAGGCCTGGCCCAGATGATCTGGGTTCTGACTGGTTACCACTGAGGCTGGCGAGAGAGGGAAGGCCGGGGGTGCTCAAGGAGAAGATGTGAGCCTGGGGCGCTCAGAAGAGGGACCCTTTGAGCCCTGCCCTGCCCGCCCCTCCCTCGTCCTGAGGTATAAGAGCCAGCTGCCACCTGCCACCTGTCACCATTTCCCTCTCCTGCTGCGCTTCTCACAGGACGAGCCACCAGCCCAGCCTTTCAAGATGGCCTTTGTTCCTGCACCTGGCTACCAGCCCACCTACAACCCGGTGAGATACTAGCCCAGGCATTGACCCAGGCCCTGGCTTAGCTCCAGCCTGGCCTCTCCAATCCAATTTCCTCTCACCCCAATCTTCAGAGGTGCCCACCCAACCCCTGGGTCTGATGGACCCAATACTTGCCATGGCGCGTGATTCACTCCCACCCTGTCACTCAGGCTGTTTGTGTCCACACCGAACTCTTGGCCCTCCTCATCTCCATGCTGACTCCTCACTCCTCAGTTTCCTTTCTTGCTTAAGGGAGCAGTGGGGGTGGGGGGGGTTCTTCTCATTGAGGGGGAAAGGGTGCAATAGGTGGAAAGCCTATGACACCCCTCACCGGCCCCTTCTACAGACTCTGCCCTACAACAAGCCCATCCCTGGAGGACTCAGTGTGGGAATGTCTGTTTACATCCAAGGAGTGGCTAGTGAGCGCATGAAAAGGTAACCCCCTCCCCCAGGCCAGGCTAGGCTGGGAGAGGGGCTATAAGTAGGGGCTTCTGGCTTTCTTCCCTCCCCTCACCCTGGCTGGGGAGGAGCTCTGTGCCACCACAGCTGAGGGCCAAGGACCCGCTCTGGCCTGGGGAGTCCAGGGCTTGGTGATCAGATCAGGAGGAGAGCCCTGGGGGCTGGGGGGAGGTCAGGGAGCTCACCACAAGAGGCGGCCCCAGAACTGGGCTGCTGGGTTGGAACCGATGGGTGTGGCAGCATGAACAAAACCACGGGCCAAGCCAACACAGGGCTGTTCCGTCAGCGGCTGTGTGACTGGGAAAGCCACTGCCCCTCTGTGCACTTTGGTTCCCCACCCAGAGACTGGGACTCAGTGTGTAAACGACATAGGACTGGAAAGGAAGCGCTGAAGTCCTTAAAATGGCGATAATAACTGAACTGAAGCCACGGGACTGCTGCTTCTATGTCCATTGTTTCTCTGATCATGGAGGGGGTCTGCTTTGTGCCTGGGCACTGCGGCCGAGCGGTCAACAGCACAGACAAAGGACCCTGTCCTCATGGAGCTACCATCCTAGTAGAAGAGACAGATAAAAAATAAATAAGTTAAATGTATAATATGTCGGATGGTGATAAGTGCTACGGAGTCAACTAAGGAGGGAAGGCAGATGGGTGGATGTGAGAGAGAAGGGTGTGGCATTGTCCCTTTACATAGAGTGGCCGGGAACGGCCTCCCTGGGAAGGGGACATTCAGCGAAGACCTGACGCAGGTGAGGGAGGGAGCCTGGGGTGTATCTGAGGGAAGGGCGTTCTAGGCAGAAAGAGTAGCCAGTGCAAAGGCCCTGAGACAGGTGTGTGCCTGCCTGGATGGAGTAACTTTGGGGGTGCTGGTGTGAGGGGAGGTGCTCTAATCTGGATGTTCACGGGCTCCCTCTGGCTCCGTGTGGGGAATGACTTACAGGTCCAGGCATGCAGCAAGAAGTCTGAATTGATAGATGTAGGCTTCCTAGGACAGTGCCTGGCCCACGGTGGCCGAGGGTGAACTCAGGAGTCCCAGTGGCAGCCCTATTAGGGGGGCTGGGGAGAAGTCCAGGAAGGAAAGGGAGTGAGCGAATCTGCCTCCCGAAACTCAGGGGCGCAACCGCCCCCTCCTGTTCTGAATCAACAGTGGCAAGGTCGCCCCACCAGGAACCATGGAACAAGGTGGGACCGACAGGGCTTCCCAGAGGAGGGTCTGCTGGGCTGGCAGGCAGGGCCCGGGGAACATCTCTCCATGTCCCACCAGGTTTGCCGTGAACTTCGTGGTGGGACAGAACCCAGGGTCCGACATTGCCTTTCACTTCAATCCGCGCTTTGATGGCTGGGACAAGGTGGTCTTCAACTCGCAGCAGGGCGGCAAGTGGGGCAGCGAGGAGAAGAAAAGAAGCATGCCCTTCCACAAGGGCGCCGCCTTCGAGCTGGTGATCATGGTCCTGGCAGAGCACTACAAGGTAGGAGCTGCGGGCCAGGGCCTCCTCCTGCTCCGCCCTCTCTCTTCCCCCTCCCTCCTCCCCTCTCTCCTCCCTTCTCCCTCGCCCCCCCTTCTTTCCTTCCTCCTCTCTTCTTCTTTTCTCTCTCCCCCCTCCCTCTTTCCTTCCTAGCTCACTTTTTCCTTTTCCTCCCTTCCCTACCTTGTAAAAAAATTTCTCTTTTATCTTTTTCTCATCCCCATGCCTCTACCACACAGAGGCTTCTAACCTGTTTAATGTATATCATCTGTTTCTTTGTGTTCTTGCAAAATGTGTGTCTTTGCTGTTTCTCACGGAGAACTCTGAGCACACACACACAGGGAAGGTGTCGTCTCCTTGGCCAGCTCCAGTCGTGGTCGACCCTGCTTCCATCCTCACCTCACACTTCCCCACCTGAGGGATGTCACAGCAAACCCCAGATATCATACAATTTCACCCATAAATATTTCAGCCTTTTTTAGAGATTTTATTTATGTGTTTGTTTGATTATTTATTTAATTTTTAGAGAGAGGGGAAGGGAGTGAGAAAGAAAGGGACAGAAACATCAATGTGTGGTTGCCTCTCACGTGCCCCCTACTGGAGACCTGGCCTGCAACCCAGGCATGTGCCCTGAGTGGTAATCAAACTGCGACCCTTTGGTTTACAAGCTGGTGTTCAATCCACTGAGCCACACCAGCCAGGGCTATTTCAGCTTTTATAAACACAGTCATGAAAACTGTGTTTATAAACACAGTCATGAAAACTAAGGACACCTGAAAACTGACAGTGTGTCCTTAGTGTCACCACATGTCGAGCCGGTGTTCCAGCCACCTCAGAAACGCCGTGTTTGCTGTTTCCTGCAGTTTGTTTGAGTTGGGGTCCAAATGAGACCCACACGTTGTGACCTGTTGCTACGGTGCACGTGTTTCATGTCTCACTAAAGTGCGACCCACACACAGAAAAGTGTTCGCTGTGCATGCTTGGTTTTCACAGGGAGTGTGCCCCAGAAAACCCTGTGTGCCCGCGGTCCCCTTGACCCCAGGGGTGGCCTTTCCCCTGACTCCCCTCAGCCCTGACCTTTTTCTGTGCCTTTGTTTCTTTTAAGTGTGTGGGCTAGGTGCTGTGCTGTTGCCTTCTGCCCTGTTCTTATGTATCGTGTGTGTGTGTGTGTTAAGCCCCTGGGTTGCTGTCACACCTGGTCCGTACCTTCCAACAGTTGTGCAGGGCTCCTGGCACACCCACTCTGAGTGTGACCCATCCCCGAGTCCGACTCCCCATCAAGGACACTGAGCAGACCCCATGCACACGTGTCCCACGGGACTCGTGCAAGGCGTCCCTAGGAGGGGGGCTGCTGGGCTGGGCCACCCACCTGGGCTTTGTTTGCCCTCATACAGGCACCAGATTTCTAACCTCCTCGCTGGGGATTAGCTCCATGCTCTGAGGTTGGACAGACAGGGATCTCAGGCTGAGCTTTGCCCCTCCCCAGTGTGTGACCTTGAGCTGACCAGTCTCTCCCCCGGGCCTCCGCTTTCTTGAACAACAGGGATAATCCCTTGCCCTGCCTCACAGAGCTGCTGAGGGAATCGCGTGTTGCTATCACAGCGGGAAGTGCTTAACAAGTAGGAAGCACTCAGCCCGGCAGAGCTGGCTCTCGCCCCGTGGCCACTGCTCAGCACTGCAACTAGAACTGTGCACTGAGATATGAGTACAAGGCAAGGCTCTCCACAGGGTTTGCACAGTGCCCCCAACAGGCTTTGCTGGGTCAGAGTGAGCCCGATTTACAGGGGAGGAAACAAAGTCCCAGAGAGGTGAAGTGATTTACCTGAGGTCACACAGGTTAGACAGGTCAGAGATCGACCACCACCCCAGCTCGTTTGGCGCTCAAAGTGGGACTCAGACTCAATTCTCTCCTGATCTCCATCCCCAGACTACATTCTATGTTCTCTCCCATCCACCAGTCTGTCAGCTGACTTTTGACCCCAGCTTGACCTCTGACCTGTGGACTCAAGGTTCTTGACACTGAAGCTATCTCAGCTCACCCCCAGGACTTTTGATCCCAAGTTAACAAGACCCCTGTTCCCTGCTTCCTGTGTCTCCCTCCCCCAGTTCATGGCTGCTGACTTCGGCCTTACCCCATCCTGCAGGTGGTGGTAAACGGAAATCCATTTTATGAGTTCGGGCACCGGCTCCCTCCACAGATGGTCACCCACCTGCAAGTGGATGGGGACCTGGAGCTTCAGTCAATCAACTTCATCGGAGGCCAGCCAAGACCAAACCACGTGTGTAGTGTCTCCCTCTCTCACTTGTTTTCTTCTTCAATTCATTCACTCCCACGTTCCTTTGTTTCCTTTGCTGGGTGATGCTGTGGACCCAGAGGACCAAGACAGTCTAGTATGTCACCAGATGGCATTGGGCACAGTGGTCAGGGCCAGCATGGGGGACACACCAGAGCTTTGGGGAGTCTTCAGGAAGGCCTTTCTGAAGGAGGAGGAGGAGGAGGAGGAGGAGGAGGAAGAGTGTACTTAAAGAAGCCTACACTCAGACTCCTGACGTGCCCTTCAGGGAAAGCTCCACCCTCACAACCTGGAAGTGTCCCCCCCCCCCCCCCGCCCCCGGCACATCACCCTGTGACCCTCAGCTACGTTCCACAGCCATGGAGCTGAGCCGGGGAAGCTTAGGGAACCTGCCCCAGGTCACGGACCCATAAGTGGCTGAGCCGCAGGGCCTGTGCTCCGACCTCGCCTCTGCTCCCTCATGAGGAAACGTCGGGAATATCTTTATCTGTAAGGGGGTCACCCGCCTGTGAGCTCCATTTTGCCATCGTGTTTCATCAATGCGTTTTTGAAAAATCAACAATAAGGCCTTCAGAAAAGGGCCATCAGAGTAGCTGGCTTAAAATGGAAGCCAAGGCAGAAAGGAGGACATTGGAAAGAAGAGGAAGCAGAAAGAGTAAATAAAAGTTAACTAGGGAAGGGAAGGGTATTTCGGGCAGAAGGAACCACCTGAGAGGAGGTGTGGACGAGAGAGGGCAACAGAGACAGACAGAGACAGGGAGACGGAGGCACACACAGACTGAGGGAGCCAGAGACAGACAAGGGAGAGACAAGAACCTGGCTGGTTCTGAGGACTACGCCTGGCCCCCACACTAGGCATGCGCAAAGAGGGGCAAATGGTGGTTGGGGCCGAGAAGAGCATGGGCTTTGTGTGGGCCTGGGAGGAGTGGACACTTCATTGTGCAGCTTCTGGATTGCTTCAGGGTGCAGGGGTAGTGCTGGGGTGGGGGCAGGTGAGAACAGCAGGAAGCCAGGATAGGAGAGGTACAAGAATGGAATTTACCAGGCTTGTCCTAAGGGGTGGAGTGAGATTCACCATGCACTGGAGATCCCTAAACACAACGAGTCCCCCTCCATTAATGAGCCGTCTGAGTGCCGCTCTGTGACCCCAGAGTTCCCTTGGTGGGGCGGGGAGCCTGCCCCAGGGCAGCATCCTAGGCCTCAGTCTGGAGTCCCTCTCATCACCTCCTTCTCCCTCTGTGCCCATAGACACCCATGACTATTCCGGCTTATCCAGTAAGTACCCTTGAGGTGGAGGTTTGTGGCTGAGGGGGTCGTAGGGTGGCTGAAGGACCCCAGCCCTTCTCACCATTCCTGCTTTTTCACGTCTGTGTAGGGTCCTGGACAGAGCTACCAACCCTCGCAGAATCAACTGCCTGTAAGTGGGAGGGCTGTGTGGCCATCTGGTGGAAGTGGGGAGAACTGGGAGGGTCAGAGGTTGGATCCCCAGGAGTAAAAATTCAACACCCAGAGATACACCTGCTTGGCATAGATGTGTCATAGATATTTGTCGAATAATATAGAGTAATATATTTTCTTCTTCACTTTACAGACCATGGAGGGACCCCCAGTGTTTAACCCGGTAAGGAGCCCTGTAGTTTAGGGCTCTGTGGTGGGCCATTTGTGGGGAAGCAGAACTGCTGGGGGTGTTGGGGGGCCCTGGTCCATGGGGAGCGCTGATGGGGCAGGACATAGAGTGGCAGAGCGTGTTTGGGACGGGGTGCGGGAGGAGGGAGGAGTTGGTGGTCTGGGTGGGGCAGGGGACAGGGGTTGGGGACATTTTCCAGGATGAGTATGGGCCCCTCTTTGAAAATGTGTCTTTGCATCTGGCTTCTGGGGACCTGGGAGATGATGGGACCCCATGATCTCTCTCCACAGCCTGTGCCATTTACGGGAAGAATACAAGGGGGGCTTACGGCCCGAAAAACCATCATAGTAAAGGGCTATGTGCCCCCCACGAGCACAAGGTACAGAACCTAGACTGAGGTGGGAATTCGTGGCTCATCTCCCCCCTCAGGCCCAGGAGTCCAGTGCCCAGCGCCCCCTTCCCTAGGGGAACCAGGTGTGGGCCCCTTCTGACCCTCATCTCCCTCTCTGTCCCCAGCTTTGTGGTCAACTTCAAGGTGGGGTCCTCAGGGGACCTGGCTCTCCACATTAACCCCCGTCTGACCGAGGGCACTGTGGTGCGGAACAGCTATCTGAACGGCTCATGGGGTTCTGAGGAGAAGAAGATCTCCTACAACCCCTTTGGTTTCGGCCAGTTCTTTGATGTGAGTCTGGCTGGGTCTCTTACCCCTTTCCGTGCAAAACCTCTGTCCTGGCTGTGACCTCACGCCCGCTCTCCCTGCAGCTGTCCATCCGCTGTGGCCTGGATCGCTTCAAGGTTTACGCCAATGGCCAGCACCTCTTTGACTACTCCCATCGGCTTTCGGCTTTCCAGAGAGTGGACACTCTGGAGATCCAGGGTGATGTCACCTTGTCCTATGTCCAGATCTGACCTAGTCCTGGGACCACAACCCCTGGGAACACACAGACAAGAACCCCAAAGGACACCCTTCTAAGCCCCTAATAAACTGAGGGCGTCTAATGAGTGTCTGCGGCTCTGTGCACCTCCCTCTCGGCCCCTTCCTTCCTTCCTTCCTTGCTGGGTTCATCGTGCGCTGGCCCCTGGTCTTCCCGCCTAATGAACCCAGGTACCCGCCCCACCCACCACTGACCTTAGGGCCTTATTGTGGCAACTCGTCCGCTCCTCACAACAACTGTCACCACCCAAAATCAAGAATGAACACTACTCATGACGCCAACAGAAAATGTAAAACATTACAAGGGAATATTAGGAACGATGCAGGCCAACAAGTCAGGCAGCTTAGATGTGAGGAGAACAAATTCCGGGGAAGTCAGACATTTTCTAAACTGACTAGAGAAGACACAGAAAATACTTTGTTTTCTCCATAGAAACATTCATAAAAAGTTTGTAGAAATATACATTACAACTAACTTGAAAATTACAGAGACCTAAAGTAGCCCTGACCAGTGTAGTTCAGCTGGTTCGGCATCACCCCCCAAAGTGAAGGGTCACTGGTTTGCTCCCTGGCCGGGGCAGGTGCCTGGGTTGCGAGTCCAGTCCCCAGCTAGGATGCGAATGAGAGGAAACTGATCAATGTTCCTCACATGGATGTTTAATTCTTTCTCCCTCCTCCTCCTCCCTCTGAAAATAAGTAAATAAAATCTTTAAAACAAAAAAAAACCTAGAGTCAAAACAATTTTGAAAAGAACAAAGTATTTAAACTACCTGATTTCAAGACTTACAATAAAGCCCCAGTAACCAACAATGTGGCGCTGGCATGAGGAGAGGCACACAGGTCAATGAAAAAAAGAGTTCAGAAATAAACGCACACATATATGGTCAATTTATTTTTGAAAAAAAATTGTCAAGGTAATTCAATGGGGGAAGACAGTCAATGGGGGTAAGAAATGAAGCTCAACCCTTACCTCACACCATACACAAAAATTAACTCAAAATGGATCAAGACCTAAACATAAATGGTAAAACTGTAAAAACAGCTAGTAAAAAAAGAAATGCAAGAGAAAATCTTTGTGACCTGATAAGCAATGATTGCTTAAATAGGACACAAAATCAGAAGCCATAATAGATAATTTTGACAAAATGCACTTCAGCACAATTAAAGACTTTTAAAAAAAAAGATTGTATTTATTTATTTTTTAGAGAGAGGGGAAAGGAGGGAGAAAGAAAGGGAGAGAAACATTGATGTGGGAGAGACACATCAATTGGTTGCCTCTTGCACACCCCCAAAAGGGGACCTGGCCTGCAACTCAGGCATGTGCCCTGACTGGGAATTGAACTGGTGACCCTTTGGTTTGCAGGCTGACACTGAATCCACTGAGCTACACCAGCCAGGGCCATTATTAAAAATTCTGAAATAAGCACACATACATTTTATAATCAGAAAGGAGATTACAAAACAGGTAAAAGCTATTGGCTGACGTAGGTCCCAGGACACTCACTGAAGCATAGTTTGATTACAGTAGACGCTGTGACACCACCAGACACCCAGCAGGGCTCAAGTGGCATCTGCTCCTCCTCACCACACAGCACCAGGGCACACAGCAAAGTGAATGAAGGCTGGCATGTATATTGCTGAGTGACAGAAATGAGGACAGTGGGTGCAGGGTGCTACTGCTTACACAAGGAGGGCGAAGACACTGTCTGTGCTTGTGAGTACAGATTTTTTTGAAAGACACACAAGAAATGAACACATAGGCAAGAGCAGTTTACTTTCGCAAAAGAGGACTTTTGTGTGTGTGTGTGTGTACACATAATTTATTTTGAAACAAAGTTGGAAGTGTAGTACAAACATTTTTTCCTACATTCATTTGAGAGTAAGTTGACAACGGGCTTTCTGATCACCTTCAAAAACTTTACTGAGCATTTTCTACAAATCGGAACATTCTCCCTCATGTCCACAGTGAGACAATGGTGAAAATCAGGAAAGTCAAAGGATGAATCAGGCCCTGGCTGGCATAGCTCAGTGGATTGAGCGAGGGCTGCGAACCAAAGTATTGCAGGTTCGATTCCCAGTCAGGGCACATGCCTGGGTTGCAGGCCATGGCCCCCAGCAACTGTACATTGATGTTTTTTTTTAAAAAAGGATGAATCAGTCCTGAGTGGTGGCTCCATTGGCCGGGCACCCTCTTGAAAACTGAAGGGTCGCTGGTTCAATTCCGGGTTAGGGAACGTGCTTGGGTTATGGGTTTGGGCCCTGGTTGGAGTTGCATGAAGGGCAACTGACTGATGTTTCCTTCTTTTCCCCCTCCTTTCCACTTTCGCTAAAATAAATAAATAAAACCTTAAAAAAAGAAAGGATGGATTACTACCAGCTAATCTGAGGACTCCAGCCACCTTTACCAGTTGTACCAATAAGTGTACTTCACGCTGCATACTTTTGAAATTTGAACCATATCTACATGTTATTTTCACAAAAAATTTAAATATATACTTACAATATTTGACGAATGAAAATAAAAGTGAAAACTAAGTCATTCAAGAACAAGCCCTGGGGACCAGGGGAATTCAGACTTGCTCAGGTTTCCCACTGAAAAGGTGGCCCCTTGTGAAAATCTGACATAAATGGAGCCATTTCTTTTTTGCCGATGAAAACTTAGGAATATCTTCTAATACACATTTACAATCAAGTTGATAACACTAGTATTTTTACTTCAATACTAATTATGTTAGAGGGCTCTTAAATTTCAGACATGGTCATATATATTTTTTTTAATTCTTTTTTTGTCTAGATACCAATCTTGACAGTGACTCCTGTAATGACAGATGTGCAGCTGGCTGGTCTGGGAGCTCACAAAGGTGATCATATCGCTTCATAGTCTGCGTTGCTCCAGATCCCCCTGGGCTGTCCACAGCTTGTGGTGGTGACGCTGCATCAGACAGGTATAGCAGTAGACAAGTAGCTACAAGACAAGATCTGCCAACTCCTCCTTAACCATGCATTAAAGTTTTCCAGTTATTTTTAAGGCAGATTGCAAGCTCCTCCATTATTTCACTGCAGCTGTCTCTGCCAGGAGTCCCCCCATCTTGGATTGGATGAAGACCAGAGGTAACTCCACACTGCTGGTAGAGATCCAAAAAATTTGGGACTCTGTATTTTGACAGTTGCTCTTCTGGTGCAGAAAACAAGTATCTTGTATACCAGAGCGCTTTAGTTCTTCTGTATTTTTTTATATTTATTCTAATACCTTTATTTTTTATTATATTTAAATTTTTATTGTATTTGTTCCATTACTATTTATTCCCTTTATACCTTCTGCCCTCCTTTTTTTAAAGATGTTTGTATTTTGTAAGACTCTATTTATTTACTTTTAGAGAGAGGGGAAGGGAAGGAGAAAGAGAGGGAGAGAAACATCAATGTGTGGTTGCCTCTCACATACCCTCAGCCGGGGACCTGGCCTGTAACCCAGGCACCCCCTGACTGGGAATCCAACTGGTGTTAACTTTGGTTCGCAGCCCGTGCTCAATCCACTGAAGCTACATCAGCCAGGGCCTCTCTCCTTCTACTGTCTTTAAATTACAACCTGAAAGAGCACATAAACCAAGAAACAAAACAATCCATTCGTGTCAGATGATATCAAAACTGGAGTCTGTTCATCTTCAATATGCTACTTCAGCCCCACTTTTTATATATTTCAATTTCAATGAGTCAAATTCACTTGTTTGGGAGGAATTCAGTGCCCTCATCGCTGGCCACCCCAAGTGAAGCCCTTTTCAACACGAGTCCTAGCAGCCCTTACAGAGGAACTGCCTTGCTGCTCTTACTCCCTGGAGCTTTGGAATTAACTTTTGGACTGGACCAAACCAACATTGTCTGACAAACAACCTTGCCCAAAGCTAGACATCCTGACCATGAGGACTGATAATTATGGACTTTCCTTATAATCAGCCATATATGTAGAGCTAAAGAGTAACTTAGCTTGCTAGAACCAATAGAAATTCCTTTCTTCTATTCGTGTAATTATTTCCCTTTCTTTTTCTCATAAAAACCTCTTGCCTTCACTCTAAAATCGGGACACCATTAGAGTTTGGGTTTCTAAGCAGACCTATGCCCCCAATTGCAATTCTGTGATCTCAAACACTATTATATGCCTCTCATTTCCACTATTCTTGTTGTTGTTGCATTGGTCAACAACCTCATTTCTCAGGCCACCCAGAAGTGATTTTTTCCGGGCCACACACAGGCTGCGGTTTCAGCCAGTGTCCCAAGAGGCAGAAAAACGTCCTGAAAAGTGCCAAGCCTCAAGGCGACGCCTGTTCTTCCCTACCATCCGACGCTCTGTCACAGGTGGTCAGGAACTGACTGCGACGTCCGCGCGGCCCCAGGTAGCAGAGGGGTCTGTCAGGAGGCGCAGAGGTTTCCGGCCTGCAATCCCAGGAAGAACCGACCTTCCCAGAACTCGGACCCGAGACTCTGTGCCGGGAGGGCACGCTGCAACCAGGGGGACTCCATTGATTCCACCGCCCTGACACACACCCACGTGGGCTGCGCGCAAGGGACGCGGCTCGGGTCCCTCCTACGGTGCCAGCTTCCCCACTGCAAAGGCCATTGGCCCTAACCCACAGACTCGCACTCACACCCACTGACACCAGACTATGAACCCCTCACGGTCGGGGGTGAGCTGGGCGTCTGACCCTCCTGACCGCACCCTTCTCGTCCCCTCCACCGCCATTCCGGGGAGACGAGGGGGAAGAAAGGTCGGGGGGGGGGGGGACCCGCCACCGCCCGGGGAACCAGGAGCCCAGGGCTTTCGCGTCCCGGCCGACGCGGCGGGAACCTGCCCTTCGGTACCTGTCAGCCCCGGGGAGCGCGCGGGCGGAGGCCTGTCCCGATGCAGGAACAGATGGGAAGGCGGCGACGGCCCGATCCGCGCCCCGCCCGAGCGTCTCCAGGAACCCTGGGGCCTGCGGAGCACGGAGAGGTGGGGATAGGAGGGGCGGCGCTGGGCCCATCTCCTCCAGGTCCCGCAATCCCAGACACCAGGAGTGCGGCTTCACAAAGT